GGCCGGGTCCCCTGAAGTACCCCCGGCAATGGAGACAGTCCTGGGGCACCCCGGCCTTCCCACTGCACCCACTGCTCCCCCACGCAGCCGGCGCTGGGTGATCTGCACCGCTGTCCCACGCCCTGCAACCCCAGAAACCCACAGCCCCCCACAGCTCAGCAGCTACTCCCCCCATGCCATGGGCACCCCTGAAAAGCCAAGGTGCCTTTGCATGCCTGAAGCCAAACCTAGGAGCCAGGCTTTGAGGGTCATGGCTTCCAACTTCACCTCCAGCCGTTTGCGGGAATGGAAGGAAACTTTGGGCACAAGTGAATTTGTGCTCCTGTCTGACTGAAAAATAAATTTAAAAGCTGATGGGAAGAGCAGGCGGTTCCCAGCGAGGTCAGGAGGCCCCAGCATTGTTGGTTCCTCTCGCAGAGATGAGCCCTCACCCACATGCCCACGGCTCCCTCGGGACCCTTCTGCAGCCCCAGCTGCCCACTGCAGCCCCCAGGTAGATCCCAGCCTCTCGCTGTGTTCCAATAAGAAGGGGCCACGGAAGAGGTTTTCTGGGGATGTGCAAAGGGACGTCGGCCCCCTGAAGCCAAACCTAGGAGCCAGGCTTTGAGGGTCATGGCTTCCAACTTCACCTCCAGCCGTTTGCGGGAATGGAAGGAAACTTTGGGCACAAGTGAATTTGTGCTCCTGTCTGACTGAAAAACGCTGTGTCCCAACAAGAAGGGGCCATGGAAGAGGTTTTCTGGGGATGTGCAAAGGGACGTCGGCCCCGAGGTGCTGCTGCCAGCGAGCAGTAACACACGCTGTGCTGCCATAGAATCACAGAATGGTAGGGGTTGGAAGGGACCTCTGTGGGTCATCTAGTCCAACCCTCCCACCAAAGCAGAGTCACCTACAGCAGGCCGCAGAGGACCTTGTCCAGGCGGGTTTTGAATATCTTCAGAGAAGGAGACTCCACCACCTACCTGGGAAACCTGTTTCAGTGCTCCGTCACCCTCAGAGGGAAGAAATTCTTCCTCATGTTCAGACGGAACTTCCTGTGCTTCAGTTTGTGCCTGTTGCCCCTTGTCCTTGCTATGGAGCTCACTGCTTGTTGTCAGCAGCAAGAAGCTTATTATTTACTATATGGGCGCCAAAATAAAGCAGCATCTTCCCTTCTGTCCCATAAACCATTCTGACTGCATTGTGATACATTTATTGTATTTCCCCTGCCCTGGCAACCAGTCCTGCACCCACGCCTCTCCCGCAGAAGCTGCTGGCACTGCGGGGCTCAGGACAGCAGGGAAGAGGCGCTGGTGACTACCCTACCCCCCCCCAGCTGGCGAGTGTGATGGCGGCTGTGCAGGACATCCCAAGGCAGCAGCAAAGGAGGATCCAACCCACACCAGCGAGGAGTCTTCTCAGGCAGCAGCTGGAACTGGACCCAGTGGTGAAGGGGACACGGCTGCAACTGTCTCCCAGTCCATGGGTGGCTTCTCTGTTGGAGACGGACGTTGGTACTTTGGGTGACTCCCATGCAGACACCCCTGCAGCAGCCTCTATGCCAGGTCCCAACATCCGTGAAGGGACGGGAACGATCCTCACACGCTTTGGTAAGATCCACTGTCGGATACATTTATTGCCCCGCTTCTGCGGTTATATACATTTGCCATATCTGTTACACACGATTACGCTTACATCGGATAGGCTACAGACATAAATCATACACTGTTCACATGCCCCACATTCCCTTATAATTGGTAACGATGCACTAACGCCAATAGCAACAGACCGCCTCTACGTCCTTGAACACATCTTGTTTTTCCTAACCCACATCATGTACACTCTCAGAACTTTCTCAATTGCTATTCTTAGCTGTCCTTTCTAGGGGCCTGTTGAGTTATGCTGTTTTACTTAGACGGCCTAGTCATGCTAATTCTCAAGCTACATCGACCCCAACATCCCCACTGCCCCATGGGAATGTCAGTAGCTGTTTTCGGGGGCACTGGGTGCAGAGGTGGCCACAGGCTGGGTGTGCTGGGGCTCTGTTGGTGACCCAGCACGATCCCCTCATCCCGCAACTGCTTCTCGCAGCCACTGCACTGGAAGTGCTTGGGCTCCACCTGCTCCCCCACCAGGGATGGACAACCCCCAACCCACTGGACCCCCTGTGGTACTGCCAACTGCCCCTGGTGCACCCGCTGGTGGCTCTTCTGGTGCTGCTTCTCACTGCACTTGCAAGGCTCCTTGTCAGTGTGGATGAGCTGGACGGTGGTGAGGGTCTCCTCATCCCTGAAGGCCTTGGGGAAGTGGCCGCAGGCAAAGGGACGCTCCCCAGTGTGGATGAGCTGATTCTGAGCAGGCTGCCCTTCTGGCTCAAGCTCTTGCTGCACTAGCCACACTTCTAGAGCTTCTCACCCGTGTGGATGCGCTGGTGGGCAGTGAGGTTGTGCTTGGCGTTGAAAGCCTTGGGACAGTGGGTGCAGGCGAAGGGGCGCTCCCCGGTGTGGATGCGCTGGTGGCTGATCAGTCTGCCCTTCCGGCTGAACCTCCTGCCACACTGACCACACTTGTAGGGCTTCTCACCCGTGTGGACGCGCTGGTGGGCAGTGAGGACACTCTTGTCTCTGAAGGACTTGGGGCAGTGGGCACAGGCAAAGGGGCGCTCTGTGGTGTGGATGCTCTGGTGGCTGACCAGGTTGCTCCTCCGGCTGAACCTCATGTCACACTGACCACACCTGTAGGGCTTCTCACCTGTGTGGATGCGCTGGTGGAGAGTGAGCAAGTTCTTGGCCCTGAAAGCCTTGGGGCAGTGGGTGCAGGCAAAGGGGCGCTCCCCGGTGTGGATGCGCTGGTGATAGACCAGGCTGGCCTTCCGGCCGAAGCTCTTGCCACACTGACCACACTTGTAGAGCTTCTCACTTGTGTGGATGCGCTGGTGAATGCTGCGGGTCTTCCTGTCCCTGAAGGCCTTGGGGCACCGGGTGCGGGCGAAGGGACGCTCCCCGGTGTGGACGCGCTGGTGGGCGGTGAGGGCACCCCTGGCTCTGAAGGCCTTGGGACAGTGGGCACAGGTGAAGGGACGCTCCCCGGTGTGGTTCAGCTGGTGGCTGACCAGGCTGCATTTCTGGCTGAAGCTCTTTCCACATTGACCACACTTGTAGAGCTTCTCACCTGTGTGGATGCGCTGGTGGGCAGTGAGGACACTCTTGGCTCTGAAGGCCTTGGGGCAGAGGGCGCAGGCAAAGGGGCGCTCCCCAGTGTGGATGTGCTGGTGGCTGACCAGGCTGGCCTTCTGGCTGTAGCTCTTGCCACACTGACCACACTTGTAGGGCTTCTCACCCGTGTGGAAGCGCTGGTGGACGGTGAGGGCGGTTTTGTCCCTGTAAGCCTTGGGGCAATGGCTGCAGGCGAAGGGCTTCTCACCAGTGTGTGCACGCTGGTGATAGACCAGGTTATGCCTGGAGGTGAACCTCTTGCCACAGTCGGTGCAGCTGTAGGGCCGCTCGCCTGTGTGGCTCCGCTTGTGCTTGGTCAGCCCAGTCTGGCTCTTGAAGCTCTTGCCACACTCGGGGCAGGTGGCAGGGGTCTTCTCCACCAGACCAGGGGCCGGGATGGGATGGAACAGGGAGTATTCCAACGGGACCTCCTGGCTCCCACCTGGCTTGGGCATCCCCAGGAGCAGGGCACTGGGTGCCGACTGCTCCTCAGGGACCCCCTCAGCCTTGCTCCTCATTCCAGGGCCACTGGGTGCTGGGGAAGAGAGGCCAGGTTCACTGCTGGTGATGGGACAGGCCTCACCAGGCAGCACCGAGGGGCACAGAGCATCTGGGCCCAAGGGAATGGTGCTGTTGGAATCCCCACCCCTCCCCGAGCCCCGCTTTACCCACCTGCCACCGGGGTCTGGTGCCTCTGCTGCGCCCTGAGGGGGTCTGACAGGCACGGCATCTCTTCCCGCTCCATCTTGCAGATGATCTCCGGCTTGATGGAGGGCCAGCCTGTCCGGGACAGAGACAGAGGCAACCTCTCCTGCACTGCCAGAACAGCAGTACTGGTTTCCCCCTGCCCGTGGCCCCAGCATCTCGCCGCACTCTGCTCCTATCTCTTGCCCCCCTTCCTGGTGCCTACAGCCTCCTCTTACCTTGTCCTCATGACCTTGGCCGCTCTCCTGCACACAGAACGCCTAGGGAATGCTCAAACCTGTGCCAGGGGAGGTTTAGCCTGGACACAAAGAAGCATTTCCTTACTGAGAGGTGGTCAAACACTGCAACAGGCTTCCTGGAGAGGTGGTCAATGCCCCAATCCTGACAGTGTTTGAGAAGCGCTTGGACCATGCCCTTAATGGCACGCTTTAACTTTTTGCCATCCCTGAAGTAGTCAGGGAGTTGGACCAGATAAGCCTTGTATGTTCCTTCCAACTGAAACAGTCCATTATATATTATTCTGTTCTATTCTATTCTATTCTGTTCTATTCCGTTCTGTCCTATCCTATCCTATCCTATCCTATCCTATCCTATCCTATCCTATCCTATCCTATCCTATCCTGTCCTATCCTATCCTATCATATCTACTGCTTCCTGTCTACCTTATAAGCCAGTTATCCATTCAAAAAAAGAAATTTGACTGAGCTGACTAACTTTGTTGGCTGGCACCTGACCAGGTATCAGTGGGGCCTGCCAAGATTTTTC